GGTGTAGTAGTATAAAAAATGCTATTGTTACACACTTTCCATACACACATATACACACTATAAATACTCTAAAAAAAATTACCCACTTTCCCTCACCTCCCTCACACATGAGGTAGTTCAAAAAAAACCCCAATCCCAAATTTTCACACATCCTCCCTTCTCCCTTCCTTTGAACTGTCGCTGGCCATCGAAGAAAACCCCCGCTCCCAAATTTTCTGCGCACCCCCTTTCCCTTCCCGTCGCTGGCCGTCGAAGAAAACCGTCACTCTCCTCCCCGTCGCTGGAAGCTTCTTCTCCGTCAATGGTTGTTGACGAAAACCGCCACACCCTTCCCTTTGAACAAGGCTATCGAACGCAACCCTCCTCTCGGCCACCATCCTCTTGTCCAACCGTCGTCAATTCTTTCTCACTCCAACAATCCAAAATGGTGCGAACCCTACTTTCTTGCATGTCCGAAAGGTATGTATCCCCTATCTTAGGATTTTTAACAATTTAAGGCTATTTGATGATGTTTATTTGGAGGGTTCATAAGATATTTTTGTTTATGAAGTTTTGGAACCCATCTATTGCTTAGATTTTGAACAATATACATTTGTTTGGGGATATGTCATTACTTTCTATGTATTTGTCTATGTAAGGTTAATTTTATGTCTGTTGAAGGACATATGTATTGTCTGTGTGAAGATACATTTGTCTAGTTATTTGTCTGTGTGAACTTATATGTAATTGGTTGTGGCTCCATTTATCTGTGAAGACTTATATGATTGTCTGTATGTATCTACATATGTCTGTGTGAGTAATATGATTGTCTATGTGACTCTACTAATACAAGTCCAAATGAAAAAATATGTGGGACTTTGGAAAAGTAATGAATTTTCCAATGTATTGTACAATTGTGTTTCACTTCTCCAACTGAGGATCAAATTCCTTAAAATACCTTGGTTAATTTGGACTTCAGGTACCTTAAATTCATGCGGAATATTGAAAGAAAGTTTTGAAAATACAAAATAATCAACTTATTTGCATAATTAAAACACAATGAATTAACTTTTTTCATTACAATTAAATTTATGAAGTGATTTATTATGTAGTTTTATTAAAAATGAAATTCTCACCTTGAGTGTATGTTACTTTGTAACACTTTGAAGTATGTTTCTTAAAGTATGACTTATGAAGTTATGACTTATGAAGTTATGACAAATAAAGTTTTGAAATTCTCACATAATATTTTATATGTTTTCTACTTTTCTGGTTAACAACCTTTTTGTGCCCAATTGTGTTGTTCATGTTTGCAAAACTCACCCCTTGTAGGCCTGTAATGACAAAAGTCAAACATAAGTTTTTCTACATATGTTTGTGTGACTGATTCTTTGTCTGTATCAAACTGAATGCTTGTTTGTGTGACTTAACATAAGTCTGTGTGCTTATGGTTTATTTTATTACAATCATAGGGCACTTGAACTTCAGATCCCTTTGAGCAAGCATTTCCATGCGCAATATTCTATGTGTTCGGATGTGAAACATGCTTCGAAGTACATTCATACCATGTTGTCTAAGAAACAAATGGGACTATTCCGGAATACACCATGGGGTCACCTTGTAGATATATCTGACATTCAGTTTTGTGCCCAAATTGTGCACATGTTGCTGTTACGCCTTGTGAAGTAACAACCTGAAGATGAGCTACGGTTCAATGTGGAGGAAGCGATCCACTTAAACTACTTTGGGTCTGCATGTTTAGTGTTGGATTGGTTTGGTTGTAAAACATTGATGTAACCTTACTATATACATTATTTGGTGCTCTTTTTTTACCTGCATGGGTTTGGTTGTTAAATGTAGGAGGTTGTACAATGTTACACTAACAATGTTGTACAATGTCCTAGAATGTACTCCCAAATATTCGTGAATTAGTATGCCTTTTTGTTTTTGTGGCAAACACTTACTCTCTATGGTGTTAATATATAAGGAGGATGCCTTTGCCTGTGAAGAAGAAAAACCTTGTCTGTGTTGTAAGCCTGTAATACGACTTTGTCTGTGATTTGTGTCGTAGTTGTTTGTGCTATGTATCCGCTCTTACATCCACTTAAGATATTTTTAATAACTAATTTATGTAATTTAACAACTAAAACATTTATTACTTTGATTACCACTGAGCCCATGTGTAATTTTGAGGTGATCAATAAGGTTACAGATTATTTGTTTAATTTTAAAAACTTGACTTGTTTATTTAAATAACTAGTTGTTTAAAAACTACTAGTATATGTAATCCATCGCATAGTTAGTTAAATATGGTACGAGGATTAAACGAGGTTTAATACATACAGACTTTATTCAGTAACATTAATGAAAAATGGTCAAAATTTCGTTTGAAAAAACGTTGACTTTCAAAAAACGTGTAAATACATATACGTGTAGGCAAGACATTAATATCTCCCAGAAACACATTTTGTGTCTGTGAAGACCAAAGACTTTGTTTGTGTCTTAATACATAAATGTCTGTGAAAATACATGCATGCACATTTCCATCAAACTAAGATTTAAATCTAAAGTGCTACAATTAATCATGTCATTAGGATCCCTTGTCCATTGCCATGCCCAGCGGTCGTTTGTTGTCATTCCTAGCCCTTGATTTCTTCTTCCCTTTCTCCAATGGTCCTTTTTGATGGTTTTTCCTCGGTGCACTCTTGCGCTTTGCACACTTAGGATCTCCAATGATTTTTGAAACACTCCAACTACATCTACTCCAATTTTGTGTTTGGTGGTACTCCTAGTTGTTACGGGAAATCTTAAACGCTTCCCATATGCCTTGTAAAAATCACACACCGCTTCTTTGCTATCAAATTCATACCAACATTCGGAGCTTTTATAGAACCAACGTCACTCTCATTTTGATGTATTTCTCCATCTTCCGAACATTCATGTATTTCAACGAATAAAGAATGTCTGGATGACAACATGCACACACAGAGGTATATTTACACACACATGTAGTGATATACTTACGCACAGACAGAAGTATCACACGGACAGAACTATATTTACACACAGACAGAAGTATCACACGGACAGAACTATATTTACACACAGACATTTCAAATAGAAATTTATTTACACACAGACATAAGTAAATTTAAAACAATTTAAACACAGACACGATTATATACACATCACAAACACACATCCGATATTATACACTTCACACAAACACTACACAAATACGATACGGAGGATTGTCTGTGAAGAACAAACATATATTTACGCTCAAAGCCAAAGAAATCAAATACATAAATGATCAAACATCAACACACACTCATACCAAGCTCAGGGACGTCGTCCATGGCTGTCTCCGCTGCTTCTCCGTCAACTCTAGCCGCCACCGGAATATCTCATTTAGCTCGAGAAGCATCGATCATTTGATCCCATTCAGCCGAAAAGTCATCTGTTGTAGTATCAATGATCGTTCCGTTCACAAAGCCACCAAAATCCAGTGATTTTGAAGAGAGGAATGCTATGCGTCGAGGTGTTGCGGGAAGAAGAAAGAAACGAAGAAGGGGGAAGGGAGGAGAGAGGCTGGGGGTTGCAATCTCACGTTAGGGAGGGGGTAAAAAATGGTAACTTTTTAGGTTATTTATAGTGTGTATGTGTGTGTATGAAAAGTGTGTACCCAAAGTCTAATTTGTAGTAGTATATCTCTCCCAAGACTAATCACACGGGCATCAACTAGAAGTAGGGCCTCCAATTTTATAGGACCGACCCTGACTAGAAGCAAGTAAGCAAGTAATCTATTAAACATTTTTTAAAGTAAGGTGGTGAGATCAATTGAATGATAGAGAACATGTTTTATTAATATATATGTACACTTTCATAATAACATTCTATACGCCTTAATTATTGTCATATACTACATATGCATTTTTTTTGTTTAGTTTAGATAAGATACAAGTATTAATTATTCAAAACACAAAATATTGTAGCCATTGTATTTTACATGACCCATTAAAATACTTTCTATATACAGGCACACGTATGGGCAGGGCCGGCCCTAGCCATGTGCTCCAAGTACAATGGCACAAGGCCCAATAAAAATAAAGGCCAAAAAATAATTAGTAATATACTAATATGGAGTATTATGTAGTATACATAGTTCAAGGTAATTCTGCTAACAAAAGGGGCATCGAATGACACACTTAGGTGATTAGATGTTCTTTCTGTAATTGATTTAACAAATTTATATTATTGAACTATTAGGTTGTTAAATTTATAATGGTTTCACTATTATACTTTTATAAGTAAATAATTTTGTTTTTTGAGTTTGTAGTCATTAGTTACTATGTAGTAACTTGTTTTTTACATAATCTTTTAATAGGTAATTACTATTTTCATTTGATCATCTTGATAGATAGTGGTTCAATTTGTTAGAAGAAAAAAAGGACTAATATTTTCTCTTGCACAGGGTCTCTGTTTTCTAGGACCGGTCCTGCGTATGGGCATGTTCAGTCATATTTATGTTAAAATGTGCTATGGTGAATCAATTAATCAGTACTAAGACATTAATTATACTCACTACGGTGAATTTATTATTGAATTTTGTTTTGTAGGAGGCAGGGGCGTATTGGGCCTCAGATCAGGGAGGGCTCAGACCCACCCTCAATTTTTTCATTTTTTAACTAGTACTCCGTATATAACTATTTTCTCCCTCCGTTTCCAAAAAAAGTCACGGTTTGACTTCACGATTATTAAAGAAATAAATTGACTTTACTGTAGAAAACACTGTTTATACACTGCTTGACACTGTTTGGACACTGTTTGACACTGTTTCGCACTGTTTGGATGTAGATTTCTTTGCCAAATAAGGAAATAAGGGAAGTGTGACTTTGTTTTTGAAACATCTCAAAAAGGAAAATGTGAGTTTCTTTTAGAAATAGAGGGAGTATATAGATATAAAACCTTTAATAATATACGTAGTATATATATGGTGCAATCCTAAAAAAAAACCTTTAATATACCAATGCGGCAGTCCTGTAATCCCGTGTACTCTCTTGGCAAATCCATCTCCCACAGCGAAGCCCAAAAAAACGTGGCCCAACATCCAAAATTCGTGCTCCACAGCCACGCAAGCACGAAGGGCGCAGAACCGCAGAGGGCCAGAGGAACTCATCGGAAATAACTCAAATCCCAACTCTTCGTCCTTCGGCCGCAGAGAAGAACTGAAGAATCTCTATTGCTGCAAAATCACGGTCGGCCCACGGACTCTAGCTGAGTAGGCGGAGTAGCAGCTAATTCTCGTCTCTCATCTTTCGATTGCCATAGCGTGTAGTGCTCTGCGCGCTATTGTCGCTCTTCTGTCGCCTCACCGGTAAGTTTGTTAATTGTCCAATTTTATTGTATTTTTTATATTCAATCTAGGTCTTTAGAGACTAAATTACATGATTCGATTTAGGTCTTTTGAGACTAAATTACATGATTTACAGCCTAATTTGATTATTACGGGAATTTCAGATTAATGTTTTTAGGGATGGTTTGCTAATTCCAGTTTTATTTGACTATTTGAGTGAGACAGTGAGCCACTTATTAGTTTTAACAGTTATTATGAATTTTATTAAGAATGTAATTTGTGATTCGTGACTTGTAATTTGTCATTTGTAAGCATCGTTTATATTAGTATGAATTTTTATGGTGTTTTGATAGTATTAATGATTTAATGTAATTATTTAGTTAGTGGGTACGAGTATTAGTTTAGTTACTTAGGAGGCCTTTACTTGGCTCCTAAAGTCACAGTTAGGTTAGTAGGTTAGTAAGACAGGTGAAGTAAACACGTAAGTTGCTTAAAACACTGCTTACTAACCGAAAGAGGCACTTAAAGTGCTGCTTACTAAGCATACCACCCCTATGTATTATTTAAGCGGCACTTTAAGCTTTTTCAGTTTCGAATTTACACTTACCTTTACCCCATGCCCTTACCCTATTGCTACCCCACTACCCCACCCTACCCTACCTTACTCGACCCCCCGACCCCAACCCCACCCTGACCCCCGACCCCCCGACCCCACCCCCACCCCCCACCACCTGCCCTACCCCACCCCATAGTCACATGGATCATGGTACACATCGGTACGCGGTACGAAAATGGGAACGTGGATCGCTAATATAAAAAATCCGATACGTGGGGGGTAGGCCGTAGGCTTCTTCGGTACGCTATTTCGGTACGCGGTGCGGTGTACCATAAACATATACTACCTACAATTTACTGTGTATTAAGTAAAAACTATACAACAACAACATCCAAGCCTTAATCCCAAAAGAATTTGGGGTCGGCTAACATGAATCGATCTATGATATCGATGCCAAAAAGAGAAAGCGGACAAGAAAAGGAAAAAAATTAAGATAAAATGAATAAAATAAAGATACATAAATATAAGATAACAATAACACAAGAATATAACCAAGATTAAGTACAAACTATAAATGTAATAAATACTCCGTATAATATAATACTAGTACTAAACAATTAACTTGACTAAAACATTAAACAAAAGGCTGAAGTACTTCTTAAGCAAATAAAGTAATTATAATTAAAATGTCTCTTTGGAGTCTCGAAGGAAGTACGAAAGTCAAGGGTCTCTTAGATTTAAGAGGTACGAAATTACGAATAGGATTAGGTCGTTTAGACTTTAGAAGTCGCGTTGCTTGGAGAGTAGAAGTCGCGTCGCTTGGACTGCTCGATCGTCATCCGCTAAGGCAAACTTGCGAACGACAAACGGGATGCGGCGAACTACCTGCAAGTGAAGCGCGAACTGCGACCGAAATCCGCCGTACCTGAGTCGCGACCCAGCAGCGACCGGCGCGCAACTGTACCGCGATCCGGTACGCGCGATCCGGAACGCAAAACGCGGGTACCTTAGCGATTTCTGTACCTATGCCCCACTCCCACTCCTACCACCTTCCCCTACCTTGACCCGACCCCGACTCCGCCGTACCCCTACCTCGACCCACCCCACCCCCTACCCTACCCCTTAACCCCCTACCCCCACTTGTACCCCTTACCTCGACCCTACCTTTTTACCCCTACCACCTTCCCCTACCTCGACCCCGACCCCACCCCCACCATTGACCCGACCATACCCCCACCCCCACTAGTACTCCTTACCTTTATCCTACCCCGACCCTACCCCCACCACGTGCCCCTACTTCGACCCCACCCCAATCCCGACCCCTCCCCCACCACCTTACCCAACCCCTACCCCTACCCCGACCCTCCACCTTCCCCACCCCACCCCCCACCCCACCCCACCCCACCCCTTTACCCCCTACCACCTTCCCCTACCTTGAATCGACCCCAACCCCGACCCTACCCCCCCGACCCCGACCCCACCCACTCCCATTACCATACCCCGACCCCTACCCCTTTACCCCATATCATCTGCCCCTACCTCGACCCAACGCCTATGAGTAGGGTGGGGGGTTGGTATGGGTGGGAGTAGGGGTGGAGGGTAAGGTCGTGGTAAGGGTAGGGGTAGGGAAGGGGTGGGGGTCAAGGGTGTGGAATTGGGGGTAGGGTGAGGGGTGGGAGTACAGGGGCGGGTAGGAGTTAGGGGTGTGGGTAAGCGACTAAGCGTACGAGGTGACCTCACATATTATACTACGTAGTATATACTTGTGTTCATGAATGTTTGTGTGTGTATATATCTATAGGGTTATTTTGAACATTTTAATGTTAAACGGTGTTTTAAATCCTTTGAAGTAAACATGAGCTTACAACATTGCTTATTTTATGCGCCTTTTATTAACGTGAGTCTTAATAAGCACCGTTTACTAACCCGTGAAGTAAACATGTCCTTAGTAACTAATAATTCTATTCCCTCCATCCCGAATTGAATTGCAAACTTTGACTGGCACAAGGATTAAGGAATGACAATAAATGATGTTTGCTTTTTACACTTTTGTCTATCTTTCTAAAAGTAGATGCCTTTAAATTAATGGGGAAAAAGTAAAAGTAAGGGTAGATTTGTCACTTTATTCTTATTTACATACCTAAAATAGAAAGTGGAAAATCATTTTGGGACAACCAAAATAGGAAATTTTGCAAATCAAATTGGGACGGAGGAAGTATTATTTTCAATAAAGGGAATGAAGAGATACTATAACCCCGTTGAAAAAGGAGCTAATGAAGATAGCTGATCTAGAATTGTAGTGGTCTCACCTATAATTCAAGAAACTTCAAATGCAAATGACGCACAAAACATAAATAACAAACAATCATTTTCTGTTGAATAGTTTGATTTTTACCAACTTCCATCTGACCCTGAATTGAGAATACCAATTTCATTATCAAACAATATCAATTGTTGAAAACACTTAGAGAACAGTTGTAAAGTTGTGGCTTTTTGTATTTGAGTTTGACAAAAACTCTTATTGCTATTATATTTATATTTTTGTCTTTGATTTTTTCCGCAATAGATGTTATTTTACACTTGAAATTAAATTCGGTTAAATGCACATTATTATATACTACATGTTAATTTTTTCTGGCAATATATGTTATTTAGTTAAATTTGGGCCCTTCCTAGATGCCAAAGCTAGATCCGCCCCTGGTAGGAGGCATTCTTGTTGAACCAGTAATGGTTGTGAGTTTGTGACTTGTGAGCTGGGTTAGCTCGGAGGGGTTCTCTCTGGTGTTTGTGTTCTGACTTGTGACTATTGAAACTTGGAGGTGTATTTGGGTTTTTGGCTATTATAGTATTATGCAAGGATTGAGGCGAGTTTATTCTATGTTTTGGGTAGTGTTCGCGGTTTTTGGAGTTGCACATATTTGCCAATAGGCTATTTGTGGTCCTTTTTGTATAGCTTATTGAGTATTGTAGATGCACATTTATCTGTTTAAGTATTTACAGGCATTTGTTTCCCCTCTGCATGACACACTTATCCTTTTACAAGTTTGTGCATATGCATCTCCCATTCATTTTGTTTTAGAAAGAATGACTCTAAATGTCAATAGACAAACAATGATGACTTTATTTATTAAGAAAAATTGATTAAATAATCTCAAATCATAAATCTATCTCCATCTATTTTCTCGCTTGCCTATCAACTTCCTATCTATCCTGAACCTCGGACCACCAAGTTACTTCTGCTGGAGTTGACAGAAAAAGTAATTGTAAAAATTTGTCACCTTTGCAGGTGACAATAATGTGCTAGGTAGTTGTTTGAAATATTTAAAAAGTATTCATTTTTGTCTTCTCATTCCTATCAATTGTACTCCAGGAAAGCATTAGCAGTAAAGGGAGGGATATGAGTTCTTATAATGCTTTTAAAGCATGTGCTCCCGTAGCATGGAGCTCGAACCTGTACATAACTCTTGTAAGAGGAATCCCGGGCACTAGGAGGCTCCATAGACGTACCTTAGAAGCACTGCGCCTTGGGAAATGCAACCGCACTGTGATGCGTTGGAACACCCCTACCGTCAGGGGAATGATCCAGCAGGTTTTAGACAATATCACCCAACTAATTAGATACAGCCCACTTTTTTCCCAGTGTTGGTTTTTCATTTCATCTGGCTGTACAACTCGATCATTATCATCTTGAGCCCAATTTTGGTGGAACTGGTATTATGAAAATTATAGTGTCAATTAGGTAGTTGTTTAAAATTAATTAACTATAAGTTCATGCAAAGAAAAGCACATTGACAAAGTTTTTGTCACATGTCTGGTCCGTTGGAGAACCCTCTTGCTAGGAATAATATACTCTCGATGTCACAAAGAAATTGAAAAAATGTCATGCTTTGTCAACATATATAAGGGTGTAACTGGAACAGACGAGTGGCATAAAACTCTGTCAATATGTTTCGTGCATGAACTTATAGAGTTAATTAATTTCAAACAAATAATAGACATAAAATTTATTTATATCTTAAAAAATAAATCTATGGAGTTCAAAAAAATGAATCTATGGAGTTAGTTAAGTTTAAATAATCAACTGACAACTTTTAAATGTTGGCAATCATTAAAACCTATTCACTCCATTTCAATTTTTACTGGTCTTTATTGGGTGTCCACATATTTTTATCTAATTTTGTAGAGGGTAGAGAAATACATTTTGTATGGTAGAAATTTAATGTTGGGTGGCAAAGTTTTATTTAATGGTAGTCACATTGCTAAAAAGGATGTGAAACAAGTATATTGGAACAAAGGGAGCATTTATTTGGGTAACTATATTCATGAGTTTTAATTAGTTTGAATATATTTCTTGACAATAAATGAAACATAATTTTTTTGTTTAGAAGAGATTTCTGGGAACTAAATTCTTTTCTTAGGACAGGGGTTATGAAGCTCTAACTCCTGCTCAAATAATATGTTTTCTACTTACATGGAGAATAGTTTCAATGTGTGATAATTTGGCTTTTGCTTTCGTTGTCTTTAAATTTTTTAGGTGAAAAGGTTGGTAGTTGTAGAAACAGAAGAGATGTACAAGGCACGTAAAGAGAAAGAAGCTAACCATCGGGCGTTGCGTCCGCCATTGGTTATACATCATCCAGCCTCTTCTGCAACCGGTTCCACGTAGTATCTACCAAATGGCAAGACTATATATCTTTGTCACCTCATGCTGTTTCATTGGTCAATTAATTGATTACTTTGTGTTACAATTTATTTTGTTTCATGTGCAGTGCAGTAAGATGATCTTATAATAGACATTTAAGCCGTTTAGACTTTAGATATTCAAGGTTTTTGAAGAGTGGATTTTCTAGCTTAAATCTTATGAAATCATCCTGGGTTTTTTCTATGTAACAAGGAGTTACTATTTCACTGTTTTACCATGCTGATTGGCAATGAATGAGTCAGATTGGGAGTTGGTTTTTGGACGGTTTAGTATCTATGTTGATACATATTTGTGATTTTATAAAAAACAGGTTAAAGTAATAACATAACTACAGTATAAAAAGTAATAACATAACTACTGATAATACGATGTTCTGATCTCCTATTTTTCATATTTAGAAATCTTATTTATCAATATTAGATTGCTCCTTCAAAGATTTCCATTCCAAACCCCATCCGTCTAAGAGTCCCTAATGGTCCGTGACTCCGTGTGTTTCTTGGTGAACATGAGTTTTTCTAGGTTTAATTCTAGGTTCACCTTTATTTTGTGAGGACTCGTATAAAAGAAAACTTATACACAACATATTAAAACTTCCAATAAGCCAATTTTGGAGATCCTCCGATTTGGAGGTTTTTGAAGGTTAAGTTCTCTTAATAGGTAAATTTGTCCTATTCGTCGAAGTTGACCTTAATGAAGGTTAGGTTCTCTTAATAGGTAAATTTGACCTATTCATCTAAGTTAACCTTAAGTAAACCTATTTTTGTATTCAAACAACAATTTTATACACCCACTTGAGTTCAGTTTACATAGTTTTATCACAGATTTACTAAATTTAGGTTCAACAAAATCTATGTCCAAATGAAACGTAAAAGAAATGCTGCTATTAGGCCTGGTTTTTAAAATGTTGTTTTAGGGGTTATTTAACTATGTTTTTCTTTTATGGTAAATATTAAACGACATTCTAATATTCTATGCCAAAGAGCCTTTGAAAATATACTACACTCGTACAGTCGTACTAGACTACCAGTAGCGTGAATGTTGTTAATAATCTCTTTTCTTAATATCTAAAAGTAGGGGTGGAGTCGGTTCGGGCCACCCGGCCCGTGACCCGGCCCGGCCCGGTACTGTGCGGGCCCGGGACCGGCCCGGTTGGGCGGTCCGGGACCGGGTATGGGCTCGGTGCTGGAATAATGTGACCCGGCCCCGGGTCCGGTCCTATTTTAATTTTTTTTTTTAAAAATCTTGGGCTACTAGCCGTTGGGGGTGGGGCTGGGGACAACCCAAACGGCTATATAGCCGTTGGGTGGGGTAAAGGGGGGGTCCGGGGGGGTTGGCTGGTGTGGGGGGGGGGGGGGGGGTAAAAAAACCTATAAATACTCCTAATCTTAAACATTTTTTCATATCTCTTCTCCAATTCTTCCTAAATCCTATTCTTAACTCTCTACTCTCTAATTCTCTTATTCTCCAATATATTATATTTATTATTTATATATCTACTTTATAGTTTATACTTAAGAAGTTAAGATGGAAAATCAAGATGTCATTATACGGTATAATTTTGATAAGCAGAAGGACCCGAAGACCGGGATGTGGTACGCAATTTGCAAATGGTGTGAGAAAAAAATGTAGCATGGGGGTTTCTGGCGGATTCGGGATGGCAATCAAGCATATGAAGTCATGTGACAAAGCCAAAGGATCGGGAGGTGCGGGAAGTTCCGATTGATTACAATTTTCAAAATGTTTATCTCTTAAAGTTTGTTTTAATTTTCAAATGTAGTTCCTATTTCATTTCAAATAAATGCAATTGAAGTTTGTTTTTAATACTCGTATAAAACTATAAACTATAAAATATAAATTATAAAAAAAAAATTAACCGGCCCGGCCCGAACCGGACCCGACCCGTGACCCGGGCGGGTGGCCCGACCCGGACCCGTCCAACCCTCAGGCCGGTCCCGGGCCCATGTCATACTAGCCGGCGGCCCGACCGGGCCTAGGCCCGGCCCGGGCCCGACCCGGCCCGAGTCCATAACTATCTAAAAGCAAAAGAAATTCTATCAATAGTCTCCCCGTTCAAAAATGTCAACATCAAGAGGAATAAACACTACAAAAAAAACATATGGTTGGCATGGATTTTCTGAAATTAGCAGGGATTTTGGCAGGGATATGTCAAATCCGTGCCAAAAATAGTTTGGCACAAGCTATTTGGCATGAAATCATCGATAATTTCGTGTCAAATCCGTGTTAATCCCGTAATTTTTTTGTAGTGAAAATGTATACTCTTGCCAAGTATCTTGTGGTCTTATGGCATCACTATGACACTTCTAAAAAGGAGGTCACGTGTTCGAATCTCATCATAGTTTAAGGATGTTGGCCTTAACAGAATAGATACTATAATAGGTTAGAAAGATTTGCCAAAAAGTGTGTTGAGGTTTAGTCCTGTAGATCCGAAAGCCCAACACAAACTTTGGATATTTCAGGAAATGGATAATAAATCAAGTGTATAAGGAAATATAAAAGTTGACGAATAATAATGCTCAAGAGCCCACTTGTATTAGGCAATTTACTGATTACACAGAGACTTCCCGAACGGTACGTCGGAATAGTGATTAATACAAGAACAAGAGAGATAAAGCTATTCTAGGCTTTGAGTATCAAAATGCTAACCCTTTACAATGAGATTAATCCATCTATTTATACTAATGGGGGTATGGGGTGCTCCACTGCTCCTTGCTGATTGGTTGCTAATCCAACCACTTGGATGCCCATCCTCCCACTTGCTGATGTCACACTCTAGCATTTAATGCACTTCGCCACTTGCCAATGGTCCGTTGCTCGATCGGAGTGGTGGGCCATGCTGAAACGTCGTTGATTTGGCCAAAGTATCTTGGCTGACCCGAACCCCGTTCGGTACATATTTCTCCCTGGGTCTGTTCATCTTCTGGATTCCGGGCTATTTATTAGACTGGATATATTGGGCCTTTGACCCGGGTATTGGGCCTTGGATCCAATATCCCAACACGAGTCCCCCACTTCCGATGTCTCGAGTGGTAATGAGTGCATAAGGAAGTAGAATCTTTCATACCGAACGCTGATCCAGATCCGATCTCGCTGGTTCCCCATTTCATAAGTTGGTGGCTTATAGCGGGTGTCGTTTGATTTTTCCCGCATTTGTCATGATTACTAGCCTTTGCTTCCCATGCGACACGTGTCCTTTCAAATAGTCCAGGTGATGTGCCTTCTTCTGGTTGGTTATTGATTCGGCGCCTGTCAGACTATAAATAGGCCTTTGGTTCTTTGGTTCTTCAGTTCTGGTTTTCAAAATTTCAAATCATTCGTGCTTTTGCTCTGCCTTCTTTCTAGAATTTTCAAGCTCCGTCCGTTCAGGTATACTCTGCTCCTTGCCTTTTCTTTCTAATTCGTGTTCGGTCTCATGCCTTCTCGAACATCTTCTTCTGGTTCGGATTCGGGGCCCACTTCTCGAGAGGAAACCCATGACGCTGTTGTCGTGCACTTTCCTGACGCGCGCGTGTGGAGATGCTCACTCTGGCGAGGAGTGACGCTGTCCCACACAATTTCGTCGTTCTGAGCGCAACCCATTGCTATGCCATGGCCCCCGTCGCTTTTTGGCAAAATTCGGTTGTCTGGGCCCCCGTTTTGACGTTTCTTTATCGATGGGCCCCCGGAAATCGAAGATCGACTAACGTTTTTCTTATTTATCAGCTGTGGTGGAGATTGTTGCTCGCGGTTGGAGCAGATCACGCGTGATCCCATCAGCACAAGTGAGGAACAAAAACATCTAGAGGAGCACACATGACGGATGCGATCATACCAGCACAAGTGAGGAACAAAAACTTCTAGAGGAGCACACATGACGGATGCGATCATACCAGCACTAATGCACCGGATCCCATCAGAACTACGAAGTTAAGCGTGCTTGGGTGAGAGTAGTACTAGGATGGGTGACCCCCTGGGAAGTTCTCGTGTTGCATCCCCAACCTCTCCTTTTTTTTCACCACGCCCGTTGCCGTGCACTTTCCTGACGCGCGCGGGTGGAGATGCTCACTCTGGCGAGGAGTGACGCTGTCCCACACAATTTCGTCGTTCTGAGCGCAACCCATAGCTACACCATGGCCCCCGTCGCTTTTTGGCAAAATTCGGTTGTCAGGCCCCCGTTTTGACGTTTCTTTATCGATGGGCCCCCGGAAATCGAAGATCGACTTGCGTTTTTCTTATTTATCAGCTGTGGGGGAGATTGTTGCTCGCAGTTGGAGCAGATCACGAGCGAGCCCATCAGCACAAGTGAGAAACAAAAACATCTAGAGGAGCACACATGACGGATGCGATCATACCAGCACAAGTGAGGAACAAAAACATCTAGAGGAGCACACATGACGGATGCGATCATACCAGCATTAATGCACCGGATCCCATCAGAACTCCGAAGTTAAGCGTGCTTGGGCGAGAGTAGTACTAGGATGGGTGACCCCCTGGGAAGTCCTCGTGTTTCATCCCCAACCCCACCTTTTTTTTTACCACGCCTGTTGTCGTGCACTTTCCTGACGCGCGCGTGTGGAGATGCTCACTCTGGCGAGGAGTGACGCTGTCCCACACAATTTCGTCGTTCTGAGCGCAACCCATTGCTACGCCATGGCCCCCGTCGCTTTTTGGCAAAATTCGGTTGTTTGGGCCCCCGTTTTGACGTTTCTTTATCGATGGGCCCCCGGAAATCGAAGATCGACTTGCGTTTTTCTTATTTATCAGCTGTGGGGGAGATTGTTGCTCGCGGTTGGAGCAGATCACACGCGAGCCCATCAGCACAAGTGAGGAACAAAAACATCTAGAGGAGCACACATGACGGATGCGATCATACCAGCACAAGTGAGGAACAAAAACATCTAGAGGAGCACACATGACGGATGCGATCATACCAGCACTAATGCACCGGATCCCATCAGAACTCCGAAGTTAAGCGTGCTTAGGTGAGAGTAGTACTAGGATGGGTGACCCCCTGGGAAGTCCTCGTGTTGCATCCCCAACCTCTCCTTTTTTTTTCACCACGCCCGTTGTCGTGCACTTTCCTGACGCGCGCGGGTGGAGATGCTCACTATGGCGAGGAGTGACGCTGTCCCACACAATTTCTTCGTTATGAGCGCAACCCATTGCTACTCCATGGCCCCCGTCACTTTTTGGCAAAATTCGGTTGTCTGGGCCCCCGTTTTGCGTTTCTTTATCGATGGGCCCCCGGAAATCGAAGATCGACTTGCGTTTT